ACCCTAATGTCGACGCTACAGTATGATTGACTTTGAATGTAAACGTCAGAATTAAATTAAACGTCATATTTATATAAATTTGGAGTTCAGTTTTTTTGCGGGTATTGTGTATTTTTAAGCGAAAGTGAGCATTTATAGAGTTTAGCTTAAATAACTTGAATAAGTGAGCGTACTAACTTAATTGGAACGACTTTGGGAATGTAAACGTGAGTTTTTAATTAAACGTTACTTTTTTAGTTTTCTAAAAATTTATTAATAATTAGCACCACTCGACAAAAAAGTATAGTGTTTGCCTCGCGTGGAATGAATTCCTCACTCGCCTATCGGCTCGCTTGGAAACTTTCATCATCGGGAGTAATTCCTATGATTCCACGATCGGTAAACAATATACTATTTGTCCCCGGATTGGGTTTACAAGAGGAAAACATTTTTTTCTACGACCACTATGTAAAAGTCACATTTCGTATTGGCATCGTTGCTTAGAAAATGAATCTTTTCATTGGCAAGGCAAACTCGAATTTAAAGTGACATTTCTGTATGAAAAGTGACAGATCTGTGTAAAAAAAAATTGACAGCATCGTTTGACATTTGTATTGTATTTGTATATGTATGTCTAAAAATCACTTAGAACACAATTAATTGTGTTTGTATAATAAATTCTAATTTTTGCTGCCTTATTTAAATTGAGAAGGTAAGTTTATTGATTTTAAGTAACTTAAACCTTAAAAATTAAAAGAATAAGATGAAAGTAATTTTAACAACTGTCAAACACGTTTTTAGGTTATTTGAAAATAATAAAAAATTAAAGGGTGGAAGAAAAAACATTGTGTTCTACTTGTGAGAAAAGCTTTCTTCAAGCTCTTGTTAATGCACACTCGGCCTAACGGCCTCGTGAGTAACTTAAACACTCGCAATAATAACTTTTCTTCGAAAAAACAAAAACTTAAAATGTTCTCCTCTTGTAAACACAATCCGCGAAAATACTCTATTTAAATAGCTTGGGCCTTTTGAGAATTAGTGATTGTGTTTAGTAGTAATTCCCAAATGTTTGGGTTTAAACCATGATTAGACTTATGTAGTATCATGGTTTAAACTATTCGGCTAATAGTTAACCTGTAATTAACTACTTTAGCAAGCTTTATAATAGAAAAATGGAAGATCAAAACAATTGTTACATATTAAAAAAAATGGTTTAAACAGATAAAAGTTTCAAATTTACAAATCTTTTGGTGATTTCTTCCATTTTTCTATTATAAAGCTGGCTAAAGTAGTTAATTACAGGTTAACTATTAGCCGAATAGTTTAAACCATGATACTACATAAGTCTTATTTAGTATCATGGTTTAAACCCAAACATTTGGGAATTACTACTAAACACAATCACTAATTCTCTACTAAACACAATCACTAATTCTCAAAAGGCCCAAGCTACCCATAATTTACATGATGTTTCAGCAACCGTTACTAAACAGTTCTCTTCGTTTATAAACCTGATCTAAAAAGTAACATTGTGTTTTACTTGTGAGAAAAGCTTTCTTCAAGCTCTTGTTAATGCACACTCGGCCTGACGGCCTCGTGGCCTAACGGCCTCGTGAGCAACACTCGCATGAAAAAGTCGCTTTTCAACACTTGTAAAACAAATAACTATTTATTTTTGTTTTTTCGAAAAAAGTCATTCTTGATAAAAACCTTGTATTGTCAAAATAATAACATTGACATAAAAAATAGGATTTTATCTACAGGGTGTTCAGAAATTAGAAAAACATGAAATCAATTTGATTCGATTATTTTTTACTTTTTGTAAATTTGTATAAGATAGAGTTGTATTAAATGAAAAAGTCCAAATAAAAAAATTACATCAAAAATTAGTTGTTTTTCTTCATTTTTTTATGTCAATATTATTTTTTCGGCAATCAAAACCTTTAATCAATAATAACTTTTCTTAGAAAAAATAAAAACTCAAAATTTGTTCTCCTCTTGTAAACACAATCCGAGAAAATACTCTATTCGTCACATATTAAAAAAAATGGTTTAAACAGAAAAAGTTTCAAATTTACAAATCTTTTGGTGTTTTCTTCCGTTTTTCTATTATAAAGCTTGCTAAAGTAGTTAATTACAGGTTAACTATTAGCCAAATAGTTTAAACCATGATACTACATAAGTCTTATTTAGTATCATGGTTTAAACCCAAACATTTGGAAATTACTACTTAACACAATCACTGATTCTCAAAAGGCCCAAGCTACCCTTAATTTACATGATGTTTCAGCAACCGTTACTAAACAGTTCTCTTCGTTTATAAACCTTATCTAAAAAGTAGCTATAGCTAGGTATACCTCATACTTTGTAGGTTGAAATAGTGCAAAGCATATGCCTAATAAAAACTAATAATGATTCATTGCAATTATCTGTAAGCTATAGCTTATTAAGAATATATCCTTAATTTATTAAAATGTAATAAAATATTAACATTCATGTTATACCACAATCTTTAACATATATCCTGCATATATATCTATCTATCGCATATAATGGCCTGTTTAATTTTATAACACACTCAATGTAATATTACCCTAAATATGATGTTTTACGTTTACCTACATGTAAAAGTTACTAAAAACTAATGTGAAGTCACGCCATCTTTTTCAGTGAATATGAAATTTGTATTATAAATTGTAGCTCAAACATATACAGTGCCCGGCAAAAGTATTGAACAAATTCATTAAAAAAATTGCCTTTTTTGCCAAAAAATTCCTTGGACACTTCTATTTTGCTTTTCAGTTCTGCACATTTTAATGTAAAATTTTTCTCCATTTTTGTAGAAGCCATGACGTCATCATTTTTTAAAATTGTACCCCCATTTTTCGCAGATTCGAATAGATCATGAAATTCTGAATTCAGCAATATGCAAATGTATATCTTTTGGGATGATAGTTTTGGTATTATTAAATTTAAAAGTTCGTGAATTAAAAATTTTTATTTTCAAAAAAATATTTTTTATCTACAGTAAAATTATTTTTAAAATGTCTTCTAAATTTTGTGGCCTGTTAATGTAGTCCTTTGATTTAAGGTAGCCTCAAAAGAAATAATCGTTCATCGTCTGCCAATCCAACTCTCAGGAAAAAATGTGTCCAAAAAAATACGGACAGGACGCGCATAGTGCGAAGGTACCCCGTTCTGTTGAAACCAAATGACATCACTTAGTAGATCGGGATCTACATTCTCATTGGGAAACATTTCTGCTAATGTGGGAACAAGAGAGTTTTTCAAAAATTCCAAATACGTTTGTCCTGTCATATTATCGTCAAAGAAGAAAGGACCTATGATCCGATTTTCGAAGAATTTTATGAGGATCATCTTCGTTAAGTTCCTGCACTAGTCTAATTTTGTTTGGATGGTACTTTTCTTTTTTCATACGTAATACTGAGCGTTGGCTGACTTGACTTTCAGCTGCCACTAGGCTAGAAGTACTGTGAGGATCTTTTTCCACGCGTAACAAAATGTCAATTTTAGTGTCTTCACTAAAACACGGCCATGTTTTGGAATATCTGTCCAGTCTCTGAGAATTTCCGTTAAATGTAACTAACCGTGGCACGAGTTATAGGTCGAGCTGGATACTTTGCATTAAATAAATTTTAAACTTCTTGTTGTGTTCTAGTTTTATTTCCACAACAATGAGAATTAAAACATCATTTCTCTGTGTTTCCGTTAAATTGTCCATATTTAATATTTGGAAAACGCTTAAGAGACATATACTTTACTTAACGCTAAACTAAAAGTGTTTACATCTATTAGTAAATGTTTGTTTAAAATTGTATGCTAACAAAGAAACATAAAATAAAAACTTCCATATATCGACAGTTGCTATTTGTAGAATAACAATAAAAAGAATGAACTGAAAAAGTTTGACCTTGAAATTAAATATTTTAGGAGAGTTTATAAACATTTCTTTTATAAAAAAGTTGGTGGGTACAATTTTAAAAAATGGCCGATTACTTCATAGATTTTACAAAAATGGCGGAAAATATGAAAATGTGCGAAATTAAAAAACAAAATCGACCTGTTCAAGGATATTTTTGAAAAAAAGCTGACTTTTTCAATAAATTTGTTCTATACTCTTGCCGGTCACTTTATAATACAAATTTAAAACTTTTTTTATGAAATCCTACAAAAAATATATAAAAGACACTGAAGTGTAACATATTAGTTAAATATTTATACTGTTAAGTTTAAGTTAGATGGATGTAAAGTAATTTTGCAGTTGTATTTTTGTTTGCCAAGAATAACACCTAAAAGTTTTCCTATTACTTGTGTATTCTCCCACTGTGACGTCATTCTCTGAAAATGACATTTGGGTGATACGGGCATACATTTTAAATATGTAGACAATCTATTGTTACGCTACTTTTCTTGCTTTTGTAAAACCATAACTGTTTTTAGTAATCCTTTTGTGGGTAAAAGCGAGGGGTAAACCACTATAAAATCTTAGAGACAACCGTTTAATGTTAGTGGACGTTGTGTTGAGATTTTTTTCCTTATCAGTCGTTATCAATAAGGAAAACTTGCTTAATCGGTGCTTAATCAGTGCTTGGCGACGCGTTGTACATGACTACCCTTGTTATTGTTATCCTTAGCCGTTAACTCGTAAGCGATTTTTAATTTAAAAAAATCAGTGGTTTACCCCTCGGGTAAAAGGCATAAGGAGATAAGTCAAAAAAGCAATTTTTCAGTAGGGCCTTAAACGTATTTGAATTAATTCAGGAAATATATTTATGGTTAGCGGGTATACCCTTTTGTTAGCACATGTCATATGCTAACAAAAGCGTATACCCGCTAAACATAAATATATTTCCTGAATTAATGCGTTAAAGGCTCTAGTGAAAAATTACTTTTTTTGACTTATCCCCTTATGCCTTTTACCCACAGACTTAAACTTGACTGACTTTTACCAGAAATATTCGAATTCCAAGTAACCACATAATTTTTATTCGTGCACTTACTTGTATAAAGAGCCATGACGTTATCAAAGCCAAACTGCTATATTGTCCATTAAATCGGTAGTGATAGGCATAGAAGGTAAAATGGTATAGGTAAAAAAATCTGCAACAAAAAACATTGAATTTATTAAAAAAAACATTGTTGGTCGTTGTCATTTGCAGCAATTTAGTTTGAAAATTGTATCAACTGCTTACAAAGAAATATATGCAATATATATTTTTTAAAAATTTAACATACTAAAGGGTATTATTAATTAAAACGTTTTTTGACGTTTGTAAAAACATTTTTTACATAGAATCAAACAATTTATTAGCGGCCGTCGGCCATGTAATAAAATAAAACATTTTAAAACAGGTATTCATTACCAAATTTAAAGGCTTTTAAAATTTTAAAATATATATTTATATTCGCGCATGCACTTATCTATTTTTTCGTTGAATGGCTGTGTACAAACAAACAGTCGTTTTATTTTTTTATTGATGGTTATAATGCCGCAAAAATCAAAATACTTATGGCCTAGCGCTTTTAATAAACCTCTTTTAATTTAGCTAGCGATTATTGTTTGTGTGTATTGTATATCAAAATTTATATTGATTTTTTATTATATTATGAGTGGTTTTTCATCGTGTTTTTTCGCCGAAATGGTTATCTATACGTTTAAATAAAATTTATAAAATATAAAATAGAATAATATAAAAATAAACAATGTAAAAGCTTTTATCTACTCCTACATTTACAAGCTGTGACTTCGTGGCGTTTAAGTCACGGGCTGAAATTAGCAATAGTGGCTTTTAGGCATTTTAGTCACGGGCTGAAGCTGGCTTTATTATAAAAAGTGAGGTTAAATCCGTCAAATGTTGTCAGGTGTCAAATGTTTAACAAATAAAATTGGCTTTAAAAACTTATTTGTGCACGTTGTAGATAAAGTATAGGATGCAACTCGTTTTATAAACTACTCTAGACATTCGCTCGCAAGCTTCGCTCGTGCCTAATAAAACTCGTAACAAAAATGGCGTTTATAAAACTTGATACATAATATACTATTATTTACTCCTACATTAATGTAGTCAATGTAGTCAATTGACGAGCTGTAACTTTATGAGGTTTTAGTCACGGGTTAAAGTTAACAACAGTGTCTTTTGGGCATTTTAGTCACGGGCTGAAGTGAGCTTTATTATAAATAAAAAAAAATAAAGTTACATTCATCAAATGTCAAATATTTATAAATTAAAGTTGCCTTTAAATTCCTTCTGTTCGTCGTAGATAAAATATAGTACGCAACTCGTTTTAACTTATCTAGACACTTGTTTTTATTAAACACTCGCTCGCAAGGTTTGCTCGTGCCTAATAAAACTAAAATGGCGTTTATAAAACTTGATACATAACATACCATTCCTTTGTTACAGTATATAAATCAATTTTCTTATGACATCAAAAATAAAAAGTTAATGATTTTTTGACACAAATTGACATAATTACATCTGGCAAAACATATTAAAAACAGAGGGCAATGTTTTATTTGTTTTAAAAATACTTTATAACAACTTTTAGACCGATACAACCTCACTTTCTCCCAATTAAATTATGTTTCTATGGTATTTACTAGGCTGATTAATAGAAAAATATGCAAATTGCCCCACTGTGCGAGAACTGTTAACAAATCATATTATCCCACTGTGCGTTAACCTTAGCTTTATTTCATTATTGCCCTTAAAACTGATGTGTTGGCATGTTAATTGTTGTTTGGGTGAAGACTTTTTGGTTTATTTTAACATATATTGCGACCATGACGAATGTTTGTGTAGTGTTTTGGTGATAGATTATAAACGTTTTGTGCCGATTTATAATTACAAATAATAGCGTTTGCTGCCCTGTGGGAATTCTCTTTTTCTTGCTTGAAAACCTTCCATTACAATTTTATTAATTTTGGAAAAACCTATGAAGTTTAAAATTTATATATTTTCTGAAATTTGTTTGGTCCAAAAATATTCACTTGTTCCCTTGGTAATCGATTTTTGGTAAACGGTATTTTTTTAATTTTAAACGCCATATATGTTCAAAATAAAGCAGCCTAAGTTAAAATAAACTTTTTTCCTTAAAATTATCCAAGCAAAATCTATTATTATATTTTTAAAATTGAAACCTAAATATTATGCAAAATTATTCCCAATTATTTTAATATTAAATAGCACGTTATTTAATATTTTCACTTAATAAGATTTATCCTAGTTAATTAAGTCGAGACAAACGTTCGTTACTTTGACTACCTCGCCGAACGGTGCGCGGAGTACGTGTCCACAACACGTGAACGTCACTTATCACGTGATAAAAACACGTGAACATCGTACACAACGTTACTATTCCAACCGCTTGCTATAGAAGGGGCAGAGGGCTGGCGAAAAAGTAGCTTTCAGGTGGACGCTGCTATGCTGAAAACTATTATTCAACATTTCCCGTCTCTCTCTACAAAGTGTGTGTGTTACATTGATGTAATTGGTCGAATCGAAAATGCTTTTAACTAGATTATGTTTCTGATTTTTTTTCTTTCTTATACCAGGACCTGTTTTCAACAGACGCCCTTCTTTTTTTATGGCCTCCATCATTAGGAACTTTTGCCTTTTTTGCTTTTTTGTTACCTAGTCATTGGTCTGCATATAATGGGTTTTATAAACAAAAATTTTTAACATTTTGTTACAAAATGTTAAAAATTACACCCTAAAAACCGTTTTATTTTTTTGGTAATATTTTGGTAAGTTTTTAAGGGTTGATATTATACGTGCATTGTTCAGGAGATGCGCGGACCCAAAGAAAATCAAAGAAAATCAATTGATGTTCCCGTCGTCTCCCGGATTGATGTTTCCGTTTTTTATTTCAATAGATTTTACCCCTAAATGGAAACAAGTGTTCTGTTTATAAGAATGATGGAAAAAAAGAAAGACAGAATTTTGTTCAAAGGACCAAGATAAAATAATAAAAATAGTTACGAGTTTGGGAAAGGCAAACTGTTAAAATTCTTTTATCTTCAAGCTTTATTATTGAAAACGCGCAGTACCAAAGTATTTAATTATGTTTCGGCTTCGTCTCATAAATAATTTACAATGTAGTCCTTCCATCAAGTACCGAATCACACGACAAAAGAGTTAGGTAACGGAAAATAATGATTAGTCACCCTGACGTCTATCTCAGATTATGCCTTACCCACTCTCTTAAAATGAATTAGTAAAAAATAACTAATTATAAGTCATATTTGACTAATTGTCATAGCGAAAAAGCAGTCACTAATAATTAGTCAAATTCCACTGAATGAAATAGTTAAATTAGTAAATTTAAATTTAAAAAAAGTTTTGACCCAGCCTGTCACTAAAGAAGCTTGTCAACCTAACCTCATAACCAGTCGGCTGTCAGCCGCTCTTATAAAAATAAATTTTATTTGTCAATAAATATTGTTCATAATATTTTAAAGTTTAATATATTATTTGTGTTACTGTTTTGAGCTAAACTTTTTGCATCTTTATTTGTTTTATGGGTCATTTAACCATGGAGAGGTATATGCATTTAATTCAAATAATACTTTGTTGTTGGCCGTAAACGATTAAAGAAATTAGTTACTTTTAACTGTCAGAAATAGTCAAATATGGTGAATAATCTTAAATTAGTCAAACTTTAACTATTTACGTAGTAAAAAATAACTATTTAAAAGTGAAAACGACTATTTTATTAGTAAAAAATGCTGGTACTAATTCAAATAGTAGAATTTTGACTATTTCATTTTTAGAGAGCAATTCATTCTTTTGTCGTGTGCCGAACACTTCAAACATACTTAATAATACTGCAAAAATATTTATTTACTTAAACTAATTTTCAAAAGATGTCAAAACGTTCGAGAAAACTAATTTTCAAAAGATGTCAAAACGTTCGAGAAAACGTTCGCGTAGTAAAAATAGTGATCGTAAAGTTTGCAAAGGCAAATAAGAAAACTAAAACGAAAACTAAAAATGATCGGCGACGTAGCCGTAGCCCAAGTATAGAATATTATTATAATAACGAACCTTCTTGCTCAAGAAGTAATATCGAACAAGAGGAATTTTACTATTTGAATTAGTACCAGCATTTTTTACTAATAAAATAGTCGTTTTCACTTTTAAATAGTTATTTTTTACTACGTAAATAGTTAAAGTTTGACTAATTTAAGATTAGTCACCATCTTTGACTATTTCTGAGAGTTAAAATTTCTTTAATCGTTTGCAGCCAACAACAAATATTATTTAAATTAAATGCATATAAGTTCCCTTAAAAAAAAAACAAAGATGCAAAAAGTTTAGCTCAAAACAGCAACACAAATAATATATTCAACTTTAAAATATTACGAACAATATTTATTGACCAATAAAATTGATATTTATAAAAGTGAATGATAGCCAAATTAGTTACGACAATAGCTTGACAGGCGACAGACCTAAGTTCAATCCCCGGCTGGGTCAAAACTTTTTTAAATTTAAATATACTAATTTGACTATTTCATTCAGTAGAATTTGACTAATTATTAGTGACTGCTTTTTCGCTATGACAATTAGTAAAATATGACATAATTAGTTTTTTTGACTAATTCATTTTAGGAGAGATTATAATTGTTCCTTTTGTGTTTTGTTTGAAGATAAAATGTTGTAGCCATGCGGCTGAGAAGTGTCTTTTTGTGCTTCGCTCAATTATAGTCCTCCACTACGCGTCGGCAAACATGCCTTATCTACAATATTAAGTAATAAAGGAAAAAATATCATTTTTATTTTTCAAAAACTGGCTAAAAACAATAAAAATGGTATTTTTTTCTTCATTACTTAATATTGAAGATAAGGCATTGTTGCTTCACAGGGCAGCTGCATTTATACCTCTTTTATTCTAAGGGCCTCAATTGTTATCATATATAAGCTACTTAAATATTACAATATGTTAAAGCCTACCTATTTCCCGAGTAGGTAGGCATGCATCTTTTGCAACACAAGAAGAACACACACACAATAGATTACTGTACGTGTGTCCCATTGAATCACGTAATATTCCAAGGAAATCCGTGTATTTGCGGCCCAAAGCCGCCTCCTCCGCCG